CTGTAAACAGGGGTGTTATATCATTATATTAGTTTAAACTGGTCTCATGCTTGGGGTCCCTCTCTGGGTCTTTGTTTCTGGTCTTCCTTATGTCTGCCTCGGGTCTGTGGGTCTCCACAGTCACTGTTAAATATTCCATTGGAGAAATCTTGTATATACATGCATGTGTTTTTGTTTTCTCCATTTTTGCAGCTGTGCAGACAGATGTCGGGTGTGTTGTCTGGGTTTATATTTCACAAATCTTATAATCTCTCTTTCAGTCTTTCCCATTACATTTCTCCTTTTTCTTCTTCTTCTTCTTCTTCTTCTTCTCTATATTTCTAAAACAAAAAATAAAAAAAGAAAGTCACTGATGATGAATAAACTAATTTTCAGCTCTGTTTTCTACTGAAGTGGCTAAAAAAGGTTGAAAGTGGTCTCCAACAATATTATCGTTTATCGCAATAATTTCTGAGACAATTCATCGTCCAGTAAAATTTGTTATCGTGACAGGCCTAGTCTAACACAACAGTAACTTTGGTYACCTGTGACAAAGCCGACACATTTAATGAGCCGACACAGAGGAACTCTTGAGTGTGAGATCTGTCAAAATCAAGCCGCTCAAACTTTTGCGGACTCTGTGAGTACGTAAAAAAGGCCTTCAGATGTCCTCCTGCACCAGCGAGCTCCTTGTGTCCCCAGCTCCAGTCAGCGGGGAGTTTCGGGTGCACCTGAAAGCCCAGCGTGTGTTTTAGAGCTGCAGCTGAAGCCTCTCACAGGAGACCAGATGTTGAGCGGCACTATCGATGTTTAGCCTCCTCGGCTGCACGCCACTTTACAAAGCAAAGCGTACAAGCTAGCATCCCTAATCACCAGGAGCACGGCTAAAACTCTTGCCCTCCTCCTCCTCTTTTTTTCCTCYTTCTCTCCAGCTTCCTAATCCCGTAGGACTTTGCTCTCCCCAGTCACTGTACAACCAGAACCCGTTCCCTGCGCCTCCCCCTGTCCCGCACCAGACCGCTCTGTTGCTAGGAGACTGGAGGGGTTGAGTCGACTGCCCCCACCCCCGCTGGCAAGTCTCTCACACATATATTGTAGCAGAGAGCTGCTGAGGGGGAGAGAGGAGCAGTCGTGCACACACACACACACAGGTCAGGAGGAGGAAGAGGAAGAGGAGGTGGTGATGGGGTGGGGTCATAGGAAGAGCAGCTGGGTCACAAAGGCAGGGGTGGATAGAAGAGATACACAAGAAATGAGCTCAGTCACGAGCAGACAGACTGAAATACAGAAATGTAGCTTTGAACCGAACTTTTCGAGTCAAGCAGCAAATAGACGGAGGTTTTCCTCTCATGAGGTGCTGCACAGTAAGTAGCTTAAGTTGGGGGGGGCTGTGAAGTGTGTGTGTGCACCCAGAGAGAGAGTGGGGGGGGGGAGTAAAGATGGCTGTGTCAACAGTACTCGTGACTCAGATTATCTCACTGCAGATGTGACAACAGGTCATCTTTTAAAGTCCCGTCTTCCTCTCTGTAAATCTGTCAACCAGCTAAYGAACACACAAACGGGACAAGCCCTGTTTCTTTCTGCAGGTGTGTGTCTGCGCATGTGTGTGTGCGTGCCACATTTGAAGCACGGTCCAGGATGAAGATTTTATGAAGCAAAGCTCACCTTTACAAGGAGCTGTTTTTTTCTCTCTCTCTCCCACGAATGGCCCTGCAGTCCTTAAAGCACGGATGTCCAGTCATTTTCACTGAGGGCTACATGAGCGTTWTGTTTGTGATTAACTTCAACGTTTCCTGTTTAACTTTGACTAAACAGGAACCACTGCTAACAAACAAAATGTGAGCTCTACGTGGTATTTYCTGCATGGAAACAATGTTTTAACACGTCCTCTTATAAACACTGAAAAGTATTGCGTGTACGACTGACTAGGGCTGGGTTTAAAAAATCGATCGAATCGATCTGGAGCAATTTTCGTTCAAATTTGGGAAAATTGATTCATAAGTCATGAGATTGATTTTTTCCCCATGGGTGTTGTGTGCGATGGAGCTGTGTGTTTCCATGTTGTGTCACTCCTGGCTTGCCTTAGGTTTAGGTTGATGTTCAGTGCTAATGTTAGCCCCTGACAACAAGTTGTCTGGGTCAAAACAAAAGAAACGAAGGAATCAGTAACATTACAGCTGATTCTCAGCTGAACTTAAAGCTAACAGAGACCATGACAAATTTTGTTCGCAAAGATTTGCGCTCGGATGTGGTAGCGGGAAACGAAGCTTCGAGCGGCTCGTTCAGGTGCTTGAACCAAAACTACAGTATGTATATCTGAGTGAAACTGTTCACCTCAGCATGTTTAATTGTGTGAAAGATGACAGTCTAACAAAATTGTTTAGTTTTGTTACCAATGTTATTTTTAAATTTAAGAAACATCTTAATGTAATTCAGTGGTGGAATGTTTTAGCTGAAGTACATTTTTTCTTTCTTTCTTCTTGTTAATAAGTTGTATTGAACAGAAGCTAACAGAAACATTACAAATATACAATTTTCATACACTCCAAAGAGTGGGCAGAAGTAAACAATTATATTACCCCACCTCTTCTCCTGCACGTATCCAACAACACTTTCTCTTGCAATTCCTTTTTAGTTTAAACCCTTTGAAACTTGAGACAGTTTGGTTTCAAATTTAAACTCCAATTTGCAAGTTTGCCCTTAATGTTTATAATTTTACCAATGCACCAAGTTAGAATTAGTTTCTACTATTTACAGAATTAGTTCCTTTGAGAATGTCTTCTATGTCAAAGTAAATGTRTTACGGCTTAACTAATTTAAAAATCAATAAAACTGAATCATGAATCGTGAATCAAATCAAATTAGGCCCCTGTGAATCGAATTGAATCAATTTGGGGAATCTGAATCAATACTCAGACTGACTAAATGTGAAATACTGAAASAAAATTAGGAACGTTTGTTTACCTTAATACGTGTTCATAACCAGATAAAAAATACACCAATATTTGAATGTTTGAATCTGAAAAGAGTTATATAACCATTGGAATGCAAGTTTAATGCTTGTCTCTGCATTCAGCCAAGAATTTCAAGAAGGAACGTCATTATWTCACCTTCTTCAAGTCCTGACTCCRCCTGTTTTCATTGTGTCATCAAAACGGCCAGCCTACGGCTGAAATCAGGTCCTCATATAATTTTCCTGTTCTAGTGTTAAAACGACAGTTCAATTAAGTGTTGAAAGTGTGCTCAGACTTGCATCTTACCTATATGTACCTCCTGCTCTGTGTAACCATCTTTGACAGCCACTC